CTTCTAAATTTACTAACTCTACCACGGCTAAAATTTACAGCATAACAGCAACACTCACATGTCAGATATGATATATATCCATCAGTGTCAAATTTCCAGCACGTCAGCATCTCAGATGTACTTCCTCTAGACAGAACAGACAGCATGTGTCCACGTACAGACAAACTATTGCAAAACTCAGTGTGTCCTCGTTAATAGAAACATTTGTGCAGAATTCAAGCAATTATATTGGAAAAGGTGTCCCTTCATGTCAGCTGTGTATCAAGGAATGTGTTCTGGTTCTCCCGAATTTGATTTACTACCACAAGTGTCCTACCATTACTGAAAAAGTTTTATAACTACTAGAATAAGTCAATGGACAGCTGTCCATGTCTGTCAGAAAGTTCCCCACTGAAAAAAAAGTCACAATTGACCAAACTAGGCAAAGAAAATAGACTCTACAAGGGGCTTTGTGATGTTCCCCCTGGGTATAAGGGAGAAATTCTTTACTACGAGAGGGGTGAGGTGCTGGAACAGGCTGCTCAGAGAAGTTGTGGTTGCCCCGTCCCTGGAGGTGTTCAAGGCCAGACTGGATGGGGCTCTGGGGAGCCTGGTCTAGTATTAAATGGGGAGGTTGGTGGCCCTGCATGTGGCAGGGGGGTTGGAGATTCATGATCCTTGAGGTCCCTTCCAACCCTGGCCATTCTGTGATTCTGTGATTCTGTTTTATCTCCTCATACATCCAGACTATCATACAGAAGATTCTCACCTACATACCAAGACAAAATAAGAAGCCTAATGTTATGGTGAGATAAGACTTTCAGAGAAATCTAAGAAAATCTGGTGCACAATCCTTGATGTGTACCAGTTAAAAAAATATTCTGTTTTAAAGATATCAGCTGAAGATAACTGTTCTAATGAGAGATGTGACAACTTTTAGTGCTTCAGTGGCAGCCAAAAGATCAAACATCTTCTGTCACCTGAAACAGCTGGGAAGCTACACACAGTCTGATTTGCTTTGATATATTTGATAGACTATCATTTGAAACAAAATACCTGAAAGCCCACTCTAATTAAGAAAAAAACCAGTAGGTGAAGAGTCAAGCTTTGATGCAGAACGATACACTGATGTTTGTACTGACATTTTGATATTTGGCAATACATAAACTGCGTAAGTCATCCAGAATATCTGACTCTCATGCTTTCTGTTTATGTTCCTTCTTGGAAAAGATTTTTGGACAAAATTTTAGTGATCTCATTGTTTTTATGATGCTGTTTTTCAAAGCATTTTTAAAAGAGATTTACTTACTGCGAAAAGACCTTGGAATGACAGAAATATTTACGATAACAAATTCTTTAAAGCATGAAACAGATCTAAAATCATTTTCTTGTATACCAGTCTGTCATTATTTTATGATCTGATATTTTCTGAATGGCCAAGGTTAGAAACAAATGCTTCTGTGTGGTTGAAACACTGGAAATCCTGTAATCCCAGCTGTGTTATGCAATATAATAAATGTGTCAAACCCAGGTATTAGTGGGGATATTCAATTTAGGACCCGTCATAGATCTGAGAGGGGGAAAGATGCATCTGCCTTAGGCCTGTGGCATGTATAATTTGGTGGGGAAAATTACATATTTTAAGAAGAAACTAAAGAATATTGCAGTTTCACATTTCTATCCTTTGTATGGAAGGCTGAAATACACGCCACAGAATCAGGAAAGCCAGTGGGAAAAGTGAAGAGGAAAGACTGCTTATTTTAGGTCTCTATACATTATGCCATAACTATTGGAATTGAGTCCATTATACCCTCAGACCCTCAGCATTTATATATATATATATATATGGGGGGCATACATACACACTCTCATACCCTAATGTATTTATTCAATCAGAAGACTTCCTCTGATGTTACCAAAACCAGTCACAAAATTACAGTGTAGTTCATTTGGTATAGCATGACCTATTTAACAGCAAAATTACTTGGGCTTAATGTGGATATTTTACATTCAGTTCAGTAAAAGCTACCTGAGAGTACAAACACACTAAGACACACACACTGAAACAGAGAGGAAGCTTTAGCTTTGTAACTCTGCAGTTCCCATTATTCCTTCTGCTGTGTCTCTATGCTACCTGCAGAAGCCATCTGCCACCTCAGGTTAGGCACATCTGCAGCCAACATCTCAGCAAACAGTGCAGTGCTAATGACTGACACTCAAAGCATGGCACTGTGATATTTTTCCTTGTTTCTCAACCTACTTCCCAAACACTTATTTGATTATAAATTGGTGCATGTCTAGATACAGAGGGTTAATTTTAATTTTAATAGAGTAAAACCAGACCTAATATATTGGACTTAGAGTAACGTGTACCTTTTATGACTCCTCAGTTCAGTAACGAACGAGCATCTTACAAGTTGTATCAGCATAATTAGTTTGGTCTTTTAACAGAGAACACCAAATCTTTGTTGTTCTCAGCATTTAAGCTATCAAAGAGAAATCATGTATACAGCAGCTAAACCTTTTCAGACTGAAGTACTTAGTATTCTTCCATTTAGCAGCACGTTATGAAGTTTCATTTAAAAGGCGTAATTTTACCAATTAGCTCATCCTGCTCAAACACACACATACCGTTGGGAAATATAAAAAAGGTTTATTAAATCAAAAGATATGGCTGCACTTCAACTAGCACATGGGCATTAGAGATCAAATATTCCCTATAGATTAATCCCCATGGCATCACAGGCTGATTTGGCTTGCCAGTATTACATTAGTAAACCATCTAATCCAATTTAGAACAGGCCAGGAATGTTCCATCCATTACAGTATTTCTAGTGTCATTAGAAGCAGACTGATCGAATAAGCATCTTAAATCAGCCTGCAGCATGCAAGTAAATCACCGTGACTTACCCAATGAGATTTCCTTTTTTTTTTTTTTTCAATAAAAAGAGTTTTGCAAATTAAGAATAAGAAAAGAAAAAAAAAAGAGACCTCTCATAAGATGGAAGCTCTCTATGATTTTCATTTCTTAACACTTTCAAGCAGCAGAATTGCAGTGCGCATGATTATGCACTCTGTAAAGCAGCAGTACAATACACCAGGGATTTAAAGACATGAGAAACTCCTTATTCTTTAGCAAGCTTATTTTTATGAAAAGCAATGGAAAAAATACCACAGTAAAGAATAATAAACAAAGTAGGCTGATCAAGGGCAGAGGTAGATACTACTCTCACTAAGAAAATCTGCTGTATAAAATAAGAGTAGCCATAGTAATAAAATCCATCAATCAAATATATAACAAAGGTTTGTTCTGATAGAAAGGATTAAAAGAGCCCAAACTTTATATCCACACAAGATGAAAAACACTCAAGTGCATTACAAAAGTAATATTTTCACTCCAAACTGATATACCTGAAAGGAAAACAATTCTTCAATAGAGTAGTAAATATATGAATAAAATTTTGGCAATAGTTCATTGAGATGATGCAGCTATCAAAAAGATTTCAGAAAAGGGCTAAGCTGCAGTTTTGAAAAGGCAGGTGTCAAACTGAATAAAATCATCCAAATAGCATGCAACCTTTGCAGCTCTCTGAGACCTATCACGTTCCACTGACCAGACTACACAGGGCTCAGTCGCACCATTTAAGCAATCAGCCATAAAGAAGAAACACTGCTCTGATGCACAAGTTGGTGAACACCTGTTCCTATGCTCTCGTGTATGTGAGTGATCCACCTTTGTTTAACTGCTCTGCTGTCAGTCAGACAGCTCTTAACATTGACTGGATTTCCAGCATAGCTTTGTTAGAAAAAAAAGCTGTATTGGTTCTTTGTATACAGCTACAGAAAAAGTAACAGCTACCCAGAAATGCAGAAATGCAGGAATTGTTTTCACCGCAAATTGTCGTACATATGGAACAAAGACAGTTTCGCAATGAAATCATGCACAGATCCAGGACATGACTAATCCTTGCAAAGTGTATTAATGTTTTAAGCTTGCAAGTTTTCATTCCTTTAATGAAAACAGATCTCCTTCACTTTTGAAGGAACACAAACACCTTCTGTGAGAGAAAGAGTTGAAGACGATTTTCAACATGATTTACACAGAGTTCCACTCAAATTTCACTTCAAAAATTAAATCCTTTCACAGTGCTATATTGAAAAGATCCAAGTCTCAAATTAAATCCATCTGAGAGAAATAAAATAGGAGAAATCCTAACAAACCCAGTAATCCATCCTTACACACAACAAGCTTGCAGCAAGTCTCTGCTCTTGTTCTTTCATGTCCTTTTGATCCCAACAGGCCTGGCCCTTGCAAACCCTTCTCAGTAGGATATGGAAAACCACATTCAGACAGCTAGAGCTTGGAAAATCCGTTCTATCCTTTACTTACACCAGTGCCAAACATTATTATTGTTATTAATAGAACAAACACAGATTGCAGCAGTAAATCATACTTCTCCCAGAGCTGATTACCTGTCAAATGTTCATCATCAGTGTAAATGACTAATGTACCTGATTAACAAAATCCAAAAGCTTGCTCTAAGGTAAAAAAGCCTTAGCGTTGCAGTTTCTCTGATGAACTTCCATTCTGTTCCAGGGCAGAATATGCCAGATCTACCAGTTCAATTTCTGAATAAAAGTACAAATGCTTTGTACATTTTTAAGCAGGGAGTAAGCACTGGATTGAATTATGGCCACATGTTGCTTTGCTCTACCACATGGTGATTAGGAGAGCCACACTTTGTTCCTTTTCCTTTTCCTTTTATTAGTGTTAGGCATTAGCCTGAGAGGGCCGACAGGGAGACAGAGGTAAAGAGGTTCTTTTGATGGACAATGCGGTCTGCCACTAACAAGACTTACCTATAGCCGTGTAGGGAAGTCATAGCAGTGATTTTCTGGGCATTGAACAACCAATCTAATGCATCAGGTAAACGCCCAGAGAGTAAATGAATGAACCCAGACTTACGTGTTCAGCCTTTAATCATTAGAATTAATGTATAGTAACTCAATTGAGTGCTTACCCGTAAGATGGATCCTCCCAGCTGTTGATGAAGTTTATAAGAGTTGCTGTTGGTTCTCAGTATCTTCAAAATTCAAGTTCAAAATGACACAAGGTGGGGCATCTGCAAAGAAAAAGCACTAATTCACCACTGACATTTTTGAAGAAGAGACATTTCCTGGTATAGAAGCAAATTACACTCCACCAGCTTTATAAAGTGGTTACAGTTCTTGCAAAGGAGGTGACATAGAGATAAATCTAAATTTTCTTCTGACACGACTTCTTCTAAGCGAAAGAGAGAGTGCCAGAACAGGGTTTTGTCCCGTGTCTATTGTACCAAGAAAGTTTTCACATACTGACAGATTTTATATACAGCATGTTGAAAGGAAAAACTAAATGCTGCCATGACTGAGATTACATCTTCCAATCTTCGAAAGACATTTGCTTCCCAAGGGAGAGAATTAAACAAAGAGGCAAAGGTTACAATTCTATACACATAAGTGCTGAATTTCACTTGTAACGAAGAGTATTTTTGCTTACTACAGATGCAGCATCTCAAAGGAGCCAAGGTGTACCTGTGGGATGATTCAATTGCTCTTCTACAATTTTGCAAGCTCCTACAAATTCAAACTAGAAGTTGTACTGAAAAGGTTATGCTGGGTAAGTGCAAGGGGAGCACACACAGACACCTTTTGGTCAGCAAGGCAATTTCCTGGGGCAATGCACTGATCAACGCACTGAACCGAAATTTCTGCAGGATAAAGGTTTGTGACGGAAAACCTTGTGTTAGATGCCCATAATTGTGACAAAGTCATTGCATATTCTGCTCAATGCTTTTTCTGTTTCAGCACTTTGTTGCTGTACAAAGAAGATCCAGCAACCTCTTAAATGTGGTTGGTAACTCGAAGTACATTTGGATAATCAGCCAGAGAGAAAGGCTCTGTTCTCTATGTTTTACTGCCTATCTATGAAGTGATAGAAAAATTAATTAATGCACATTTGCCATCTTTCCAAGGTTTTCTCTTGGAAAAAAAAAAATGAGAGAGAAAGAAAGAAAAAGAAAAGCTTGAAATATTTTCTTTTAGCATTAGTCATTAGTAGTTTGTATTAGAGAGGCTTAAAATCACTTAAAATCTGTCATGTCTTTATCGAAGTAGTCAGTTTAAAGCTGTATACCATTAACTTTTTAAACTATAGTAATGTAAGCATCTATTTTATCTCAAAATTGACTCTGCAGAGCTGTCAAATATGCTTTTCCTCTGTGCTAAACATAATAAGAAAAATGTTACAAGCCAAAGCATTTGCTGTTATTTACAAAGCACTTTGTGCTAGAGACCATGCAGAAGGAAAGAAGACTAAGGCTCAGACACAACTCAGCCCTGGTAACATAATGCACTAATCCTGGTTACAAAGGGAATTCACAGGAGACAGAAGACCAAAGGGCAAGACACCTAAATGAATGAATAGGGAATGCTGAGCAGAAAATTGTTTCTGAAACCCTGCCTCTCTTTGAACATTTACTCCATATATCAAGGTACCAGCAAGGACTATCTGAGCTCACACTCTGTGAGTCGTGAGTGCATTGCTTCATCTGCATTAAGCAGCTCTGCAGAGAAGTATCATTGCTATGCTTTTTTCTAGACTTAAGCTTTTGTCAGCACAGTTAGCGTTCTGCCCAGGTGCCCACTTCATCAAGTCCTGTACAATTTTCCCTCTGCCTAAACTTAAGAAAACATTTTGTACAGTGGCACAGATCCTGTTTGAGGGGTGAAGGCAGCAGTGTGGATGCTGGTTGGATTTCCATTGTCAGTGTGGCTTTCATCTTCCTCACCCTGGAAAAGGCCAAGGGAATAATCCCACACTTCCTGGAGCAATACTCCCAGCTGCTCAAATGATAAACAGAAACTAGGAGCAGCCATAGCAGAGAAAGATTTCTATGCCAGTGGCTATCACTTGCTAAACTCAGTGATGCTCCTGCATGCTTGTACTCTGCACAGCTCTTCATCTGGAACAGTCAAGTGCAAGAACACCTTATGTGCCCTTCCAGAATGGCTGCAGAGAGAGGAAGTGCTCAGCTCAACCAAAATGGGCAAACTGCCTTTCAGATTGTGCCAAGGTTCCTAAGGCACTGAAGAGGCTGAGCAGGGCTTTTGTGCCATTTAGTCATTCAGGTTTTCATCTCTGGGTACAGAATTCTTTTTGATGGACTTAAAACACTTCCGAATGTAAAGAGCTAAATTTCCAGGCACTGTAACCATCCAGGCACTTTCCCTGGCAGCTAAACCCCACTCTTAGCTTTGCAGGTCATCTTCAGCATACAAGATGATTCTCCATTGCTATTACAAACTGGGACATTTGTGCACACAGGTGAAAGCACTTGCATTGGGACTACAGATTGCTTAGCTGTAGCAGCCTGTTTCATTTTAAGAAAAGTCATTTAAAATACTTATGAGAGCCAAACAATCTCAAAACCCTTAATAATAGTGCTTGTGTGAGAACTGGTTTATCTGTAATTATTCTTTCCTTTTTTTTTTTCTTAATTTAAATAGTGGAAATTTTTTTCCAAGTGGAAAAAAAAAAAGAAAGAAAAACAAAAAAAACATTCTATGATCTGAAAAGAGCCACTGAAATCAATTAGAAAGCCTTCCACTGACCTCAACATACATTTCTATCAGAAAATGTTGCCCAGAACAAACTTTAGAGCTAAATCAGAAACCTCAGAATCAAAATCTTGTAATACAGAGATTTCAATAGATATTTTATTAGGGTCAAGCTAAAAAGATGGTATTATAAACGTATTGATCTCTTTACCTTTCAAATCAAATGGTGTCAATGGGAAGAAAAAGGACAAAGGTGCTCTGCCAGTGAAAAGGAGATCCCTTATGGGAGGCCACGTGCACTAATCCTGTTTGTTTCGCTTGCAAAAGAATTCTTCAAAGTTAAAGCACTCTAGGGATTTATTGAGCACTTTTCAGTCTTCAGCTGGATTTACCAAGTGAAGCAGTTTCAAAGCCTGTAGATTAGTACTACACAATCAGCCTCCTATAAACGGCATGACAAGGCCCAGCATGATGTTTCAGGCAGTGGCAGTTTACATGATTCTGAAGACAAAGGTACCATTCCACTCACAAAACAAGGATGAAAAGATTGCTCTACACTGTGTGGGTAGAATTGCTTAGGAAGACAAGGCTTTACCCCGCTGCCTGTTGCCTGTTGTCAGACGACTCCTACTTCACTTGTGTTCATCACAATGATGCTAACAGGATTGGTGATGCTTAGTAGCTTCTCTACAACTTGGATGCTGCCTTGCTGAATAGTTAAGATTTTCAAAAAGTTGTAAAGAAGACCTTCACAGGTGCTGTTTGGGGAATTTTCATCACAAAAAAGGTGTGAAATTCAGTTCCCAGTAAGTGTAACTGAATCCACAGGAGCCTTCAGTGGGTCTAGGATTTCACTACACAATCTTTGTGTACCAAAGATTTTCTCTCATAAGAGCAGCTGAAGGGAGCTTCTGAAGCCAAGACGATCTATGTCACCATTTACAGTCACTATTAAATTCTGTGTTCTCATGCCTTAGGCAGAAAAGCTTAAATCACAACAGAAAGAAAAACGTTCATTTTAAGAGCTGTTTAAAAGAAAGACAGAAGAACTATGGAATTGTGGAATATTTTTTTTTTTAAACTTTCAAACTTGCAAAAAGAGCACTTCATAATTTTCATAATGAAGCAAAATGAATGGAGGAAAAGCATTTACAAAAACATTGACATTTCCTTCTGTTTAATTATTTTTCATATATTTTGGAACTGAGAGAAGCTCAATCACCTCCACCTGTTGTGTGGACTCCTAATCAAGCATAAGAATATTAAAATCCCACAGCTAATTGAACTCTGAGACACAGAACACAGTACTTTCTCACTAAAACAAATCATCTCATCCCCTGTTTGGGATTCTTGGAAAGTTTGAGAGACAGAACTCTCAAAAAGATCAGTATTTACCTCTTCAGTCATACAATGAGATTAACTTTAAGGTCTATTTCAGTGTACATGTCTTCAGGCAAGCAGGGAATCCTCAGCTTCCAGCTGGACATTGGATACTGATGAGTATTACAAAATATTATAACACATACAAGGTTATTAACTATACCTGAGTTATAGGTACCAGTACAGCACATACAAGAAGAGTGATATAGAACTGTTCATCTCTCACTGGCTCTACTGTCTACATCTATACAGTTTTCTTACCATATACACCCGTAAAAATTAATATGATGTTATAACTCTGCTTTGTTACAACTCTTGGGGGACAAAACAAGCTCAAAGAAACATCATTCTGAAAAACATTGCCTGCTATCTGAAAGACTAAAATGATCCCAATGTTATAACACAACACAGCTTAACTAAACTACAATAGTTCACTGATTAGCAATCAGTCTTATTTTGTATGGTTTATTTCTATGAGTCTATAAGCACAAGACCTGTGGTTTAAGCAGATAGCTTGCAATGACAATAATGTGCAACACACCGAGGTACTAAAGGCTGCTACAGGCAGGAACTCTCCCACTCTTCCAATAGCAAAGACTTGGTCAGAATTTCCAATTGCTCAGGAGGATTCAGACTTAGTGAGTCACTTCATTTTTGGAAAGGAAATTATCTGGATCATTACATTATTTCCACTCTTGTGTACATTCTAAATAAATAGTTTGGGATATGCAGTCAGGCTTACAGACATATCAATAAAATAGAACTATTTCCTTTTTCCCAGTTACACTTTTGCAATCAGTTTGACAACAGTAGGATTACTGGAGTGTAACTGAAGACTGAATTTGCACAGTCAAAATAGGTAACTTTGAAGGAAAACAGTCAGTTTGTCAGTTAAAATTACCACTACCTGTTTGTAACTATTCACAAAGTTACAGTGAGTTCTAGAAGAAAGAAGTTGACTTGGCAGTCTTGGATAGTTGAAGATTTACAGCTGCAATAGCAATGGAAATAAATACTTATTTTTCAACTTACTTTTCAAATAATCGGGTGCCTTTTGTACAACATTCTCGTATGACTGAAAGTCATGATGCAAAATCACTTTTGGCAGCAATTTCCCATAAAGGTCCTGGTTTTAGGTAATATT